TTTTGTTCAGCTAAAGCACATCTTCCAGCCTTTCTGATCCAAAGGAGACCCAGCACTCATCTTCTCGCCCTCATGTTGCTCCCAGTGCTAATTAGGGTCATAGTTGCAGCTGAAGCTAATTTCTCATTTGATTTTTTCTGGTGTCATCTCCCAGCCACTATGCTGTATTTTACTCTGAATGTTCAAAAGCTTTTTAGTATCTAGCATTTTCTCCCCTGTAGAGACTCATGTGTCCAGTCACCTTTTAGTCTTGGATGCTTTAAACAGATGGTGATTTTTAAATTTCTCAAGGCCAGGCATTTCCCTCAGCCCTTAAATCATTTCTGTGGTTCTTTTCCCTACTCTCTCTCCAATTTTTCAATGTCCATTTTAACTATGGATGCCAGGTCTGGCAGCAGCATCCCAAAGCAGAACTACCTCTTTACTCCTACTCGCTATTTTCCTGTTTATTTATCCAAGGAGTACATGAGCACTTTTGGTAACCACAGTGCTCCTATGGCTCATATCTGATTCCATGTCCACTTGGGGCACCTAAATCCTACTCCCCTCTCCCACATATTATCCCAACCTTCCTCAGATATCTTTGAGGAACAAGAGTAAGAAGTCATTCCAAAACACATAATAAACATAGTGAACATGCTTTTTGCAACATATGCAGGGGAGACCACTTGAAACTGCCCCTCAAGCCCTTAGTTTCCTTCTCTCCAGGCCCAGTACACTAACCCTTGTCCTATATATTAATACTGAATTCAGTGTCTGACACAGGCCTGGAATTTTCAATGTATACAGATATAGGAACTGACGGATCTGTCAGGAATGAAGTTCAGAACAGCTGAATGAGAAAGATTTAGAGTTCTAAGGACATAGCAAGGCTTGAGATCTGCTCTGGTGTTTTTTTTTTTTTTTTTTTTTTTTTTTGTGTCCTGCATTCAACTAAGGCTCTTCAAAACAGGGACAGGATGTATCTCTTAGGTCCCTTATTTTCTTGGGAAGAAGCAGAAGTGACATTACTTTGATGCAAGACCCGACAGTAAATAATTACCCAAGTTCTGTATAACAAACGTCACAAGATGGGTGCAAGGTCTGGTTTTGTGACACGGATCAAATCAACTACTTTGGCTCCTCATTTCATGCCCAAGTGCTAGGCCTCCTCAACATGTAACTAAATGGCTCTGGAAAGAACCGGGCACCTCTCTCTTTAGGCAGTATGTCCAAGTCCCAACTGAGTCTGATTGTCTCTGTTTTGCACTGCTCACCAACCAGTTCCAGCATTTGTTGCACCCTCAGGTGCCTTCGCTGCAGTTACGCACACCCTTCATTGCCATGCTGAAGAACACAGCTTTTGATTACAGTGCTTCTTTTAGGCACTTTGAGTAGAAGAAAACATAATTATGGTTGAGGGTCACAGAAGCACTAATACGGCAAAACCCTGGGAGCCAGGCAAGATTGAATCCCAGAGTAAGGCATGTGGCTAGCACCAGTCTGCTCCAAGCCGTGTGGCTGTCAGCTCTGGGAGCCACAAGTAGATACCTAGAGTCATTGGCCACTGAATCTTGGTTATTTCCAGAGAGAAGGTGCTAAGGTGATGTTTAACCTTGTGCTCTTTTTTTTTTTTTTCCTTCAAATGCCATCTCTGAAGGTTCATTCTAGTGCTAGAGAGCCACTGTGGGGTCTTCATAGTTTATCCAGCCTCCCCTTTAATCTAGACCAGTAGTTGAACTCTTTGTTCTTCCTCAGCCATCCCAGGAGCTGTCACTGAAGAGAAACAGGGCCAAGTAAGAAAAGCATCTGGCTGGGCAATCTATCAGTATCAGTGCTATTGGTGATGTATGAGCCAGAGTAAAGTCCAGCTCACACACCCAGAGCTGTGCCAGCTCAGCAGGACTAAAAGGTGAAATTAAATAATCATAATCATCATCATCATAATAATAATAATAAAAGATAAACCTTATTTTGTCAGGCAGTCACAGCTCTAGCAGTGCTGGTGAGGGGGAAGATGCTGTCTATATACACATTTTTCCATGTAAAATCACTTTATAACACAGAACCTGGCTTTGAACTCTTTGGCATCTGTACAGTAAAGCAATGTGGTATTGTGCCCCCCTCCCCCCTCCCTTGCAGAGTGATAAAAACTTGATTTAGTTTTGCTCCTGGCCCAAGGAATCAAGGTATTTCATCCCTGATGTTTTTCCTGATAAGAATTAATGGAAAACGCCTTCTCTGAAAGAGTTTTTGTTTGTTTGTTTGTTTTTCCCTGATATCACCTAAAGGGGCATTTTTAGCCTCAAATCCAAGCAGGCTCACACGTTTACATTTACACAGGGTGGGGTTTTTTTTGCATCTTCCAAGACTCATAACATGCAAGAACCAGAAGTTAGGCGCGAGGTTAAGGTGGTACTAAGAGCTAGGAGGAAGCCCTCTTCAGTTGGGCCACAGAGCATCACAGCCATGTAGCCTCCCATGGGCTGCTGGCCACGGTGTCAAAGCCCGGCTGCCTTTCTCTGCTGGGCCAGCAGCCCCAAGCTCGGACACGCTGGTCTAAAACTCCAGTTCTAGGATGACTTTGAGAAGCTTGGCTCCCCAACACGCAGCCCTGTCCTCCTGCCTGGCAGCAAGCTGCCTGCAGCACTTTGCAGAAGTGGCACAGCAAACTTCACCCCTCTCCCCATAAGGAAAGAAGAGAAAAGAGAACAAAAAGAGAATTCAGGCCCCAGTTAAGGCTGAACACTTGTCATCTCCAGTTGAAAACAACTCTTTTATCCATTTAAGTATCCAAAAAGGTTTAGCACAGGCACTTCAGCCAACAAATGTTTCAAAGGCAAGGAGACTTACCCTCTTCTCAGCATCCTTCGATTTTTAATCCTCCCAATCCCCTTCACACAAATGTGTGTCCCCTTAGACACACATTTGTAAGTCACTGGAGCCAAGCCCATGTGGCCCACAAGGCTCAGGTACAGGCTCAAACAGCTTCAGGGAGCAAGGACATGAGATGGAGCAGTACCAAATCTGGGTGAGCAGGCAGCACTCAGCTTGGCCAGACCCCATGTCCATCCCTCGATCTGCCCCCTGTCCCCACAGGGCAAGGAGGTGGCCACGACTCCTAGTTTTACAAGCAGTGAAATATCAGGGCAGATTCTCAGCTGGGGCAAAGCAGCATAGCTTCAGTGCAGGCAAAGGAGCTATCCCCATTCCCACCAAGTGGAAGCCTGGCTCGGAGAGGGGAGGAGATGCAGACAGGGCCGCTCCATGGCTTGGGACAGCACCGAGCGCGGAGCTGGGCTGTCCTGGTCCAACGGTGCTGCCACGACACTGGGAATCACACGCAGCCGTGAGTCTCTGGTGAGCAAAGCGGTGCGGAGGCCTGGTCCTCAGAGCCACCAAGAGGCTTTCCACTCCCCTACGTAGCTAAATATTTATCTCTTCCCTTTTTTTAGCAGCGGTACCATCAATTTTTACCGTCCTTCACATTTTGACAGTGCGCACGCCACTTCTCTGCCTCACCATTTGGCCTCAGGCGTCCAGGGAGGGCTATCAAAATGTCATACACAGCACAGGCCTATGTAGACAGGTGGACATTTCCATCTAGGAGCTTCATTGCAGCCATCAGGAGCGCTGCCTGGACCACATACATCTCCATAGATTTTAATATACCCTAATAACTGCATTTGAGACAAAGGAGAAGGCACGATGTACAGAAAAAAAAAAAAAAAAAAAAAGATACCCTTTTATTTGTAAAGCTCTGATGAAACAACAACTTTCCAAATGACATCCCATTAAAAAAAAAAATGGAAACCAACCTAACTATGCATCAGTCACACTATACAGATCGCATCCTAAATTTTAAAGATGCCTAAATATCTTATGGAGTATTTACATATGTATCAGTTAGGTAGTAAAGTTTCATTGCAATTTGTTTCTTTCCAGCACATACTTATTCAATGGCCAAAAAAAAAAAAAAAAAATGGGGATGCATTGGCTATTTTTTTTGTACAAAACTTAGGAGCACTTGGCTAGGGCAATTTTCCTGAGAGAAGGCTTGTTCTTTGAAACTCTTGCTCTAACAATTGGAAATACAGAAAGTAGATATTTTGTTGTTGTTGTTGCGCTAAAAAGCCTAAGGATGCCTAGTTAAGTTTTTCTTTTAAATTATTTACGTACCATTAAGTTAAAATGTTTACATTCATTCATTCGTATAAAAACTGTTGTTAAATCTTATGCAAATGATTTAACACTGATTGCTGCAACGCAAATTGCACTTCTTTAAAAAAATTATTGTATATATGGAAGAAAAAATATCTGATTGCTACCCTGTTTACAAATTTTGACTGACTCTATACAGTTCAGCCGCAAAACACGAACTTTCATAAACCTCAGTCACAGTGTACTTCCAAAGTTACAACACAGTCTTGCAAAGTGAGTAAATAGCTCAAAACCAAATCAACGGCAAAACCTCCACAGCCGGCTCGACCCCGTGAGACTTGGGAGACTTGTACCAGGCGTCGCCGTGTCCTCGGGGGCGCGACGGGGCCCGCGCGGTGCCGGCGTGTGCGCGCGGCCGAGCTGGCGGGCGG